GAACTCGTGAGTTAACGGTGCATGTCGTTCTTGTGGCTCTGTAGTTTTATTCGTACCCGTGTGGGAAAGGTGCTGCTGCTGCTGCTGCTGCTGCTGGAGCTTTCGCTGCTGGCTCCTTTGCTGTAGCTGCTGGCTCCGGCGGCCTTCGAACAGCTGCAGCCGGCGGCCCGCCCGTAGTACGCACCAACTTGGCGACCACCTTTGGCAAAGGCCTTGGCTTTGGCATCGGTAGCCTCACGCCGGCAACGCATTTGTCACCCGTCCTCGCTTTAAACGGGACTCCATCCCATTCTTCGCCGTCAGTCGAAAAGGAGCCACCCGGCAGAGGGAGAGTGCCCAATTGACTGTTCTCTGTGTTTGTTGCCACAGGAGTCGTGACGTAATTCATGACCCCGATGGTATTTTCCTCAGGCGACTGCTGGTCTTCCGCCGCAAGCCCCCGAGCTCCACAGGAGGGTTTCCGAAAATAGGGGACCCTAATATAGTACCCTAAATACTAGGATCCTTATGATAAGGACCCCAAATAAGGTACCCCTAATTTTCGGAAACTCCCTCATGAAACCATCCAGGCCCACTGAGTTTGCAAAAAGTTCCGGACTCTGGCCAGACACGACTCGTTATCGCCCTCCAGAGTCCGAGGCTACCCTACAAGGGTTTAGGGTTTAGGGCATTTGGGGTTTCGGGTTTAGGATTTAGGGCAGTTGGGGTTTGGGGTTTAGGGTTTACGGCAGTTGGGGTTTAGGCCTTAGGGTTTACGGCAGTTGGGGTTTAGGCTTTAGGGTTTAGGGCATTTGGGGTTTGGGGTTTGGGGTTTAGGGCGTTGCTTCAGCCAGTTTTCTGCCTGGCAAGGAAGGTCGGCTAGAGGTGTCTGGTAGTCGTCCAGTGCTACAAACGCGAGCATGGTGCTGTGCCGCTGATGGCCTCAACCTACTAAACTCCAACCCTAGACCCTAAACCCCAACCCTAAACCCTAAACCCTAAACAATACTCTCAACCCTCAAACTCGTGCAAGTCCTAAAACCCTATTTGACGCCTAAACTCCCAAACCCCAAAACCCTGAAGCCCCAAATCCTAAAATCCTTAAAAACCAAAACCCCAAGACCCTGAATCCTAAAATCCAAAACCCTATTTTAAATCCTAAACCTCTGAAACCCAAGACCCTAAAACCCCGAAATCTTAAAAACCTAAACCCCTTTTTAAATCCTAAACCCTAAGATGCTAGACCCTAAACACCCCAATTCCTAAATCCTAAGCCTCTAGCCCAAAGGCTCTAAGGACTCATAGTTTAAGGCTTTTGGGCCCGAAGATCAAACTATATACGGCTTTAGGGCTATATTGAACCCTAAACCCTAAACCCTAAACCCCAAACCCTAAACCCTAAAACCCTAAACCCTAAACCCTCAACCCCTATTGAGCCTTAGGGTAAAGGACCGAAGGTTTCTTAGGTCGAACCCTGAGCCCGAACCGTTACAGCGTGCGTAAAATCCATGTGAAGCTTTTCGAAATTGTGGGTTTAGCTTGGGGTTTGGGTTTAGGGTTTAGGGTTTAGGGTTTTAGGGCTTTAGGTCTTTAGAGTTTAGGGCTTAGTGTTGGGGTTTAGGGTTCAGGGTACAAGTTTTAGGGCTTAGGGTTTCGGGTTATTTAAGGGCTTAGAAGTTCAGGGTGGCTTACAACAAGGTTTGGCTTCGGTCTCAAGATTGTTGTTTGGGGATTTGAATGACATGACGGGTGTACGGATGGATTCGTGGTAACATGGGTGATAAATGATGGATGCTAGAAACCAACCGTAGTGGGAAAACCGGACCCTAAACCTGCAACCCTCGGAGCTTTTCGGTCCAAATGTTGTCAGGTGCTCTAAGGGGTTTAGGGTTTAGGCGTTCAGAGCTTTATGGATTTGGGGTTCAGGGTTTCGGGCTTAAGGGGTTTGGGGGTTTAGGATTTAGGGCTCTATCATCATCTCCCGATATATTGGCCCAATAATCAATACCCTACCCTACTCCGGCCTTACTTTAAGTCCTAGCTGCCTGATCCCTTAAGTGCTAAATCCATCCATCCACCCATCCATCCATCCACCCATCCATCCATCCACTCATCCATCCATCCATCTATCCACCCATCCATCCACCCATCCGTTATTAACATATATATATATATATATCTATCTATTAGCAGGATGTCAAGAGTGCGTTCAGGGTGCCGACGCACGAACAGCTGGTAGTTACTATGGTCATGGTATGTTATGACTACCTATACTACCTATACCTAAGGACTTTTGGAGGGGCCCCTAATGGGGACCCTTAGTCCCATTACCTTAAATAACCATTGTATAGTCCTTATATACCCCTTATATAGCCAGGTAGTCTCCATATTAACCCCAATCACCTACAAGGGTCCCTATTAAGGGTCCCTCCTAAAGCCCTTAGACTATAGCTCCCAGTGCAGTTCACATAGCCTTACTTACTAAGATCCTCCTAAACCCTAAACCCTAAACCCTATCAGTTCACATAGCCTTACTTACTAAGATCCGTTTAGGGTTTAGGGTTTAGGGTTTAGGGTTTAGGGATTAGGGCTTAGGGTTTAGGGTTTAGGCTCGCTGATCCACAAAGGCCGTGGCCTCTTGTCAATGAGGCCGCAGTCCTGCTGGCACACCGTGGGCTTAGGGTTTTAGGTTTTAAAGGCTTCAGGGTTTAGGGTTTGGGGTTTTAGGTTCAAGAGCCTCTAAACAGACGAAAGCCAGCTAATCCAGGACCCTAAACCCTAGGCCGTGATTTCAATCACCAGAAATTAAAATCGAAGCTTACGGTTTGACGAATGGGCTTGACTACTGGGCTCACGTGATGAAAGTGCCGTGGAAGCAACCCAGAAAGCCTAAATCAAGAAATACCTCCTAAGTCGCAATAACAAGGGCCCTGGTAAGGTGCAACCTGTTTATTCATCGTATAAGGGTTAAACTCAAAGAATACTTTGGTAAGTTTGGGGCTTAGGGTTTGGGGAAGAACCCTTATAGACAACTCAGCTCTCATTAGTTTAACCCTTGTTTAGGCCATCCAGTGCGACCACCCTAGGGCTCATGTCCGAAAGTTCGTCGCACTCTATGTTGTTCATTTACAACGAACCTATCCTCCGAGCGGCGAGTCCGCGGCCAGTAGGCCCTTCCGGAGCAGAGCTCAACGGGGAAAAGGGGTGAAACGACAAGTCAGGTGCAGGGCCGTGGAGAGGCTCACACTCCTTAGCCCGGGCACCACGAGCTTGCAGCGCTAGGGAGGTACTTTCCTCGCTTAGGACTGCAAGCTCTAAAACTCAATGCTGCCTATGCCCTACCTACGCAAATAAGAGGAGAAACTCACCCTTATCAGAGGAAGCAGCTTCCTTAAGCATTTTT